ATCTTCAATGCTCTAATGTTATTGTAGAATAATTTTTGACAACTGTCAATATATTAAATTGATTGTGAATCATGTATAAAAAATGTTACATTTACAACTATGAAATTAAAAATAGACATGTGGCTTGCATTTAATGGTAAGGCTGCCACCCATATGTGTGACATCGACTAAACCAACCTTTTGTGTCTTGGGTTGTGACATATGTTAATTTTGATTTTTTTTTTTTTAACATTCCTAATTCTATTTGAAAAATCCACAAATTTATATAATTAGGTTAAACTTATTATTAAATATTCACTTAATTAAGTCATATTTCACACCATACGCTAAGAAAAATATCAAATTCCAACGGACAATTTCAATTAAAATATTTATTTGAATAGAATTTCTTATCGACATTCTAATATTATATATTCTACTATTGAAAATTCAAATGGATATTCAAGCTGAGGTCAAAACTCAAATCTTATGTTTGGATTAATTTATCCTTATAATTTTAGTTGCAAACTTATTGTTACGACAACATTTTATCGAATAACTTATTGTTGTAGATTTTTTTATTGAAATTATTTATTTTATTCCACAGAAAACATACATTTTAAAACATTATCGTTAAAATCGTCAAAATTCCATAAAAAAAACTTCCATCATAACACTTGCGCCAGAATTCCGAGTTCGAATTTCTCTATTATATATCACTAGAATATCTTTAAAAAATGTGCCATTAAGATTCTACTATAATATGGTCTCCTTATAATTTTTCACCAATGTGACACAAATTTAAAACAAAAAGTAAGGAGTAATAAGTTGATGATACCACTGATTAGCCATTTTATTCATTTCAAATTAGGCTTGTAAAATCCAAGAGATTTTGGATGAGATGACTTGGGTCTTTTCCAGCTTAACCAGTGATTTCGTATTCGAGCTCTGAGAATGCAGCAATGTTAAAAACTCTTGAGTGAGAGCTTTGCCGCCCTTGTGGTCCTACCCGGCTCGATTTCGGATTAGTCGGTTCCCCTGTGGATCCGGAAACCGGAAGGTTTCTGTACAAAAAAAAAAAAAAAAAGGCTTGTAAAATAAAGCTGGGTCATAACTAGAATTTGCTCCCGATTAAATTCTAAAATCAATATGTCCCGAGTTTGTATTAATTTATTCAACGGTGGTGGTGGTTAAAATAATTATTTGCATCTATATACAATAAATCATTTGTGACCATAGTAGCTGAAATCACCATAAATGCGTGAAAAAAATTGTACACACTACACTAGCTAATAGTACCAATTAAAATGTTGATACGAGACAATGTTATTAGTTTATAGGTTATGTTTAATTTGTTAGTTTTTATTAATTGGCAGAATTAATTTCCATGAGCACGAAACCGTCAAAAGATCAATACGGGCAGAAAATAAAACGTCACGAAAACCAAAATCGACCGCACCAGGACGTAGCCGACGAATAGAGGAGTTGACAGCTGAAAAATCGTGGCGATCGGAGCTGGGGGTGGGTCCCACGAGCCGGCTGAAGCTTCCGACACTGTCGCAGAAACCGGGCACGTGTGGGCCCCACCCGCCACCAAATCGGCAGAAAGTTTGAGCGACGGCTCGCCGGAGGATGCCGGAGACGATGGTCTGGGAGGTGAGAACTGAAGACGGCCTGCTTTGATATCATGTGAGAATGTGAGAAAAATAACTGATGTATTAATTACAAAGGTATGTACATGTATATAAAGACAAAGATGATCTTATGTTGGGCTTTAATCTAACCTAACCCTACAAAACATAATACAACTACTATATAACTAAAATTACAATATCAATGTCTAACCATTAAACAAATATACTGTTTATAACAAAATTAATATATTTTTATTTAAATATACATTCCTCAATAAACAACATATTTTGAACTTAAAAAAAAAATATTGTAAATGCATATTTCCACTTTAAAATACGACATATCTAGATAACCTCACAACATTAGATTAAAAAGAAAATAAGGAAGAAATTAATATTCACAGTAATATATAGAATGGATAAAAAAATATATATACTTATCAACAGTTAATCAATAGAACCATAGTCTTTTAACCCGGCCCGATAATCGACCCGGGCAGGTCTCCGGGTCACCGGGTCAACGGTTCAACCGTCTGGTTACCGGGTCAATTGATGAACCGAACAATTAATTTTAAAATTTTTAAAATTATATATAAAGTACTTTTTCTCATATAAATATACCTAGAAGTAAAAAATATTAAATATTTTGTGTATAAAATTTGTATATGAAAATGTTAATAATAGGTATCTCATGATAAATATTTACCATATAAACATACATACATAGTTTTATTTAAAAAAAAAAAATAAAAAAATATATATATAGGGTTGACCCGGCCGGATCGGTTTGGCCGGGTTTTGACTGGGTTTGACCGAGTCCTTTGTTGCCCGATAGCCCACCGGTCAGTTCCGGCTCCTGGATCGACCGGGTCCCGGGTCAACCAGTCGGGCCGGGCCGGGTAGGGTCGGGCCAAAAACTATGAATAGACTAATATACTTTAAAAATTTTGAAATCCTACATTCCCATAAACAAATCAGAGTGTCACTATTTATCAAACCACCGCCCTCACGGAAGACAAAACGACAAATAATAAATATTAAAATAAAATAAAATAAAATAAAAATAAAATAAAAATAAAATAAAAAAGAAAGTTCAATAGTCGTCGAAAACACCTGTTAGTTGAACGGAGTGGGTCAAAGTTGGCTATAGTAAACGAAAGTGAAAGCAAACTGGAGAAGAAAAAAATAAAAAATAAAAAATAAAGAAAAAATAGAAACAAAATCTGGAAGAGACTCCAATCAGATCAGAGGGACACCATTAACCATAAACCCATCTCCTTTAACGTTATTGCCTTTGTCCCTGTTATTGAATCATCGTCTCGTTTCGAAGTGGGGGTTTGCCTTTTATTTATTGTGTTTGATAAGGTAGCATTTATTGACTTGTTATTCGTAAAAAGCGATCGATTTTTAGTCACGAAGATGGAATCTGCCATGTGATTGATCGAGTCCCAGGTCTTCATTTCTCTTCCTTGACAGCCCCAGGTAAGAAAATTGAAAATTCTCGTGTGTTTGCTAGAGAAAGATTGAATTTTTATTTGTATTTTTTGCCCCCCAAATGTGGGGTGTATGATTTTTTGCTGGATTTATGATCCGTTAAAACCCTTTTGGTTATGTCGAATGATGTATCTTGATTCTCGGATTTTCCTTGTGGGTTTTAGGTATTTTCTTGTTTTTACATAGTTTTAGGTATTGATCTGTGATGAGGTTATAGTTCTGTTTCAGTTTTGTGGGGTTCATAATTTAGGACATGGAATGAAATATTGGGAGGGGGTTCATTGATTTGGTTAAAACAGCATCATATTTAGGAGTAAAGTTTACTTCACATTCCGATCTGCTTTTTTAGTTGGGTGTTTGTGTAGGTATTTGGATGGGTTGAATTTGAAGACAATGACTAGTTCTAGTGAAACAGAAGACGATCAGTTCTTTGACACCCGTGACGAAATTTCTTCTTCTGCATCGGACTTGGGTTCCGAATCGGAAGGTTGTCCGAGTAATGGGGTCATCGATGGTGCTTTTGCATATGAGTTCTGGACTAAGAAGCCCAATAGTGTTCGTGAAAGACGTGATAATTTCTTTAAATTGATGGGCCTGAGTATGGATGGGCACAACAGAACCGATGGAGATGAAGAGGATGATTTACAACATGAAGATGAGGTGAAGGACTTTGACAGATTTATGAACGACAATGAGGCTGTGCTCGCAAGTTCAGATTCTGAACCAATAACTAATAACGGTGTTATAGAGGAAAATGCAACATGGAAAATCAAGAACCTGGACAACGGTACCGAATTTGTTGTCGATACACAGGATGAGGATGGCTCTGTTACCACATTTCGCGAATTGGGTTCAGATAAGATGATATCACTCGACGAGCTTCAGAAAGCTTTCGGCTCATCCAATTTGGTTCAGCAGTTACTGCGCAAGGACTCCTCGAAGGGGTCGAATGAAATCGTGTATTCCAAAAAGAAGTCGAAAAGCAGTTGGCTCCAGAGATTTAGTGCAGTGGCTCACATTGCGGACAGGAAGAAGGGGTTTCTTGATAAGACGAACGAGACCGATTCAAGCACAAGATCGGGGGTTCGAGTCCGTGCAACTAAAAAGCATTCGAAAGAACTTTCGGCCCTTTATGCAGACCAAGAATTTCCCGCACACGAAGGTTTGATCTTGACAATGAAGTTCAGTCCTGAGGGCCGGTATCTGGCTAGTGGTGGGGTGGATGGGATCGTTCGTGTCTGGAAGGTTCTAGAAGATGATAACGTGAATAAATTTAATGCGCTAGATTTAGATCCTTCCGGGCTATACTTTTGGCTCGATCATGTTTCAAAGGTGGCTCCTGTGAGTGTTGTTAAAGAGAACTCGAGTTCGGCGAGGAAGTCTTTCGAGTCGGCTCCTGTTGTTCTTCCTCGAAAGCTCTTTCAGTTATCTGAGAAGCCTTTGCACGAGTTCCATGGACATGAAGGGGAGGTTTTATCTCTTTCTTGGTCCAAGAATGGGGTTAGTTTTTCTTTTTTTTTTTCTTTCTTTTTTTTTCGTGCTAGCCCTTTTTGGCGCATTAAATTACTTTGTTTTTGGTATATTGTGGATTTTACCATGTTGTAAAACTTAACTTTTTAGTTTTTAGTGTGTAGCGTGTGAAGGAATGTAGAAAAGAGTAGTTTCTTTATTGATGCATGTATAACAGATAATAAAGATGTTCAAATCATTTCCTTTTAGGACATAAAAATTGAGTTAAATTGAAAAGGCATTTAATTTTATTTATTTTTTTATCTTGGATTCCTATCCTACCCCCAAATCTCCCCTTAAATCCTGTTATGCAAACGGGGCCTAATGTTTTTCTGTGCTTGGTCTTTGAGTGATAAGCTTCATTTATGTCTCCTTTTTTCTTTTTATTATGCAGAGTTTGCTTTCATCTTCGGTTGACAAAACCGTTCGCTTGTGGAGAGTAGGAAATGAAAATTGCCTAAGAGTTTACTCTCATAATAATTATGGTAAGCCTTTTTATATAATGAGTTATATAGCTTTATGTTATTAGTGATACTGGATTAACCTTGGTAAATGCGTTCTGTTTTCCGATGCAATTCTTGGTGTAGTGACGTGTGTCGAGTTCAATCCCGTCGATAATAACCATTTCATAAGTGGTTCAATAGATGGCAAACTTCGCATATGGGAAATTGAAGGTGGGAGAGTTGTTGATTGGACAGATATTAAAGAAATAGTAACAGCTGTGAGTTATAGTCCTGATGGCAAGGTGTGTACATAAGTGTGTACTACTTTCTTGGTATTGTTATGCTTTTGATTTGTGATGAACTTAAAGTGAACATATTTTCTTTATGGTTGTTTGAAGGGAGGCATCGTTGGCTCCATGGATGGCAATTACCGTTTTTATGATGTCATAGGTATATATGTTTTTTCTCTTCTTGCATTTGGTTATTGTTTTTATTATTGTTGTTATTTTTTCAACTTATACTCGACTAGTGAAAAAATGGGTCAATGACTTGCCGATGTGTGTGATTTGTGACGTACACAATCAATTGTGTTTAACGATCGTCGATGCATATGTGCTCAATTTCTGATCTGACTCCAGTTCTATTCCTTTATTGTGCATAAATTCTTATACCGTTGTGAAAGGCAAAACATTGAATGCTCAATATCCAGCCTACTGTAGATTAATATAATTTTCTTGTTATTTACTCTTATTATTTACGATCTCTTTCCAAAGTAGTCATCCTTTAAATGATCGATCCATATTGACATTCTGTATTACCTTTTCCATCAAGATGATCGCTTGGAATTGGGTGCTCAAATGTGCCTGAATGGAAAGAAGAAATTGCCCGGCAAGAGAATAACCGGATTTCAGGTTTTTTCTTCCACAACATTTCCATCTTGCATTCTTTTACATGTCGTGAATCTTAATGGCATTTACTTAATATATATATGTCTGAAAATTCCTCGTTATTCAGTACTGTCCTGGCGATGCAAGCAAAATTATGGTCACTTCCGCCGATTCACAAGTGCGAATAATTTGTGGGACTGACATTGTGTGTAAGTTTAAAGGTGCGAACTCTCTCTCTCTCTCTCTCTCTCTCTCTCTCAGGAACTGTTTTATAGTTCTTGAACCCTCAAAAAATTACTGAAACACTATAAAAATGAAAAAAAAGCAAAAGATCTGAAAACCAAAACTTTCTGGGCCCCCATTTACCAGTAAAAAGAACTAAAAAAGCTGATTCTTTTAAAAAAAAAAAAAATCCTCTCTTTTTACTTCAGGTCACAGGTGCACGGGAACCCAATCACCCGCGTCCTTCACGTCTGACGGTGACCATGTGGTCTCGATTGGCGAGGACTCGAACGTGCGCGTCTGGACCTACGCAGCCCACGACCAGAAATCATCCCGCCCGAAAAGAATATTCTCTTGCGAGACCTTCCCATCTCCCAACGCCACAATCGCCGTCCCGTGGGGCGGCCTGCGCACCAAGCTCACAGGATCTCTGCCAGGCAGCGTACTGGGCCACGGCCACCTGGACGAGAAGCTGCTGCAGAAGCTTCCGGGTGCTTCCATCCCCGACTACTTCGCCAACAGCCTCGGCTTCTTCCTGGACGCCCTCTACAAGGGCTCCGCCACTTGGCCCGAGGAGAAGCTGCCGCCGAGGTCCAAGCCCACCACACAGGCCCAGTCCAAATCGGAGTTCAAGTTCCTGAGGAACGCGTGGCTGAGTGCATTGAACAATCCTCATCTGTGGGGGCTCGTGATCGTGACAGCTGGCTGGGACGGGTGCATTCGGACCTTTCTCAATTACGGCTTGCCGATACGGTTTTGAAGTGTAGAGGGGCAAAATGGTGTAGTAGTAACTGATATTATCATCATTGTTATAGATTTTATATACGCTGAGAGGCTAACTTTTTTCTAGCAGATTTGTATACTACTGTTACCTGGGCAGCCAACAA